GCATATAAAAGTTTTCAAGAAACTTGTTCAATAAAGCTTCAGAAATCTTTATACGGATTGAAATAATCAGGTCGTATGTCNAACTTGCTCAGAGTGGAGAGAGGGCAGATGTTTGCGCTTGACCCGTTGTCAACCAACACCCGGGTCACTACGGAGTTTTCACATTTTAAGGTGAGGTAAAGAGCTCTGTTGTGCTCAGTACCTTCCACAGGCAATTCGTCATCAGAAAATGTAATTTTGTTTGCCTCAAAGATTTTGTTGGCTATTTTTTCCAAGTGATTCACGGAGATTTTATCAGGAACGTGTGCCTCATTCAAGATCTTCATTAAAGCCTGACGGTGCTCGTCAGAATGGATCAGCAATGACAATTTGCATTCTTTACTACATTCGTAGAAATAGAAAATAACTGCATAAATTGAACCAAACCGCCAGTCCGAAACAAAATTTATATAGTATTAGTTTAATTTGATTCAAATATTTTTTAACTGCATGAATACCCCAAAAGAACCATAAAATAGAAAATAGAAAATAAAAAATAAAAACCTTTTTCCTTTCAGGAAACTTCAAAAACAAGCAAACAACTTTCACAACTTCTAACCCCTTATTGAAAATCATACATATAAAAAGTAAATAAATAAAAAAAGGTAAGAAGCGAGTATCACGCCCCAGCAAATAGGTTCCCTCCCTCCTTTCTCTACGGTGTTTTCGTAGGTCGAGCGATCAGCCTTCTTCAACGTCAATTCTGAGCTCTTTCTCCTCAATTCCCACTCACAATGGTCAGCTTTTTCTCTCTTTCTCTCAAACCCTTTTGCTATTATTTTTCCAAATGGAAAAAGATCCAATCTTTTTTTTAATATGTTTTTATCTTTTTTGCCCAAAACAAGCGCATTCGCGTTGATCACTTATCTTATGTGTTGTATGGTTGAATTTAGCGGTCAGCGCTGGTAGAAAATGAATTTTGTGCATTTGGGGTTTTAATTTTAGTAGAACTGGAACAGTTGGCTTAAAGTGTTTTTCTTTTGATCTCTTTGATTATTGATCCGTTTTCCGCGTTTGTTATATGGAGGTAAAATTGGGAAGGTATATCTATCAGATCTAGCATTTTTAAGTCTCCAACAATGGAAAAAATGAAAAGAATTAACAAAAGGAAGAAAAAAAACGTAAGAATTAACAGAAGGAAGAAAAAACTTTTTTGTTATGAACTAGTAGGATTATTTACACTATATATCCCACCAGTTAATTCTTTTGCAACACCCTAATAGGAAGAACACCAAAATTTAAGTTGGACACCAACTGGGAACGTATGTATCGTAATAAGCTATGGATTCAGCCGGACCCAATAGCTTTAGCTCATACCGTGTATATGTATTCAGAAATCTAACCAAATAGTTACAAATATTAAATTTTGAACCCAGTAACTCGAATGATCAGAGGGTTCAGTGGCATCCTGAACCTATAAAGTTCAAATCTTGGATCCACCTCTGACACCAACCCACACATTTAAGGCTAATCTGGGTTAAATCTTAGATTCATGTTTCTTGAAATGGGATGCTGCATTCATCTCTTTAGAATGGAAAGTCTTGCTCATGAAGGAGGAAATATCGTGCTTTATAACAGGGGCATATGATGTGAGGCAAAGTTATTTTATCAAATAGTGAGGATTTTCCATCAAGAGAATAAAGGTAAAAGCCACTGAGCGGAAATCTGATTTAGGTGTTTGGATATTTTAGTTTTTCCACATGACTTGGAGAGTTGATGAGTTGATGTTGAGTTGGATATAATCGGAGAGAAAGTAGTTTCTGGTTGACATCTATAGCTGTGCAGGAGGCCATGAAAAAGGGAAGACAGCTTTATTTGTGCTACAGTTATGCTTCGGTTTGGAATATGATTTTATGTTACACGTGCTTGGATAGAAAAAGTGAAAGGAGAAATATGCAAAAGTGAGTATCGTGGAATTTTTGGAACGATGGTTAAACTTGAAACTCTGATAGATAGAACCAGAAGCAGTTTATGCATGACTTCCATCTCTGTCAGATATGGCATTAACCTATTTTTCTACAAAGTATGAAAAGAAATTCATCCCTTATTCTTTTCATATCTGGATATCTAGACAAAAGATCCTGCTTTAATATCCTTCACATCCTCTTTGTAGGAGACTTGCCCTGCAGTTAAGAACATTCTGCTTCTAGATTCCGAAGGAAAGCGTGTTGCTGTAAAGTACTACTCGGATGATTGGCCAACAAATGTTGCAAGGGAAGCTTTTGAGAAGGCTGTGTTTGCCAAGACACAAAAGACTAATGCCAGGGCAGAAGGTATGATCTCTCTTTTAATGTTGATTTATTTATTTGTTTTGGTCGTGCTCTTTCAAAATTATCTCCTTTATTTTGTTTCATGTTTTCAAGTATTACTGGCTGCACATTTCAGTCTCCCTGTCAACATTCAAAGGAAGCAAAAGTCATCCTGCCTGTTGTTTAGGTTCCATTCTGCACGAGTTGTCTGTGGGACTATCTTATGCAGTAGATATTACCAGTCTCTGCAAACATAGAATATTATTATAGAACTATTGTGGTAGTCTTAAATCAAGTGCCAAAAACAAAGACAAGCTATTAGAAGTTTTGTTAATTTATCAAATAGGAACTCTTTTAGTAGTGGTAAGTTGACCATTATAATCTTACAAGAGTTGGTTTTCTTTTGTTTGCTTGCATGTCCTCTTCTAGGAGTTGGTTGTCTCCAGGCCATATGAATTTGAAGTCTTGCTCAGTAATTACTCTATATATATTGAGAATTGTCTTTCTGCTAGTTACTAAAGAATGCCCTTGTGATGGGAAAGAAAGAGAACCTTGATCTGTCTGACCACTCGTCTTACTTCTTCTGCAGCGGAGATAACAATGTTTGATAATTATATTGTTGTTTACAAGTTTTCCCAAGATCTTCATTTCTTTGTTACTGGGAGTGACAATGAAAATGAAATAATCCTTGCCAGTGTGCTCCAGGGATTCTCTGATGCTGTTGGTATTCTTCTTAGGTTGTATACGAGAGCAACGTTTTCCTTTCCGATATGCATCCCTTAATATGTTCGTCTTCATGTACTTATCTTGCTGCAAATGCCTTTTGTTTTAGGGGCAACGTAGAGAAGAAGGAGGCACTTGAAAATTTGGACCTTATTCTTTTGTGTCTTGATGAAATTGTTGACGGCGGGTAAGAGTATTGTACCATGTTTAGTTTATTTATTTCAAGTTTTAAGTAATTAAAATCTTTGTCTTAACTTGCTTTGCAACTTTTACTCATTCCATACAAATACTACAAGTCAGAATCGTTTATTTTCTTTTCTTTGTAGTTATATAGAATTGTAGTTATTTCTTTTCTACATGCCCTGTGTAGTACTTTTTAGAGTGTTGACCTTGAGAATTGAAGTAGGAAAATGGAAAAGAGTCGAACATTCAATCTTGCTCTCAATTTCAGTTACAGGAAACTAAGCTGATGAAGAATTTGAATTACTTCTGATTAACTTATATTTTGAATATCCTCCATTTTACTTTCTTATCTCTTGTAGAATTGTTCTTGAAACGGATGCAAATGTTATTGCCGGGAAAGTGGCAAGCAATAGCGCGGATTCTGGGGCACCTTTGTCAGAGCAGGTAAATATTGCTCTATTTCCTGATGTGTTCCTTCAAACTGATCGATATTTGTTTCATTAATTAGCATCCCCGTGCAATTAACTCATCTTTTCACTATGTGTTCTTTCTGTTTTCTACAGACAATAAGTCAAGCATTGGCAACTGCACGAGAGCATTTAGCAAGATCTCTTCTCAAATGATTTGTTGGGTCAACAAAAAAAGAGAAACCAAGGCCTCACGAGTATTGATTTCCTCCTGAATGAACTAATTGATGAGCATCAAGTTGCATTGTTTTAGCTCTTATAGTTCTAACTTATGCCCAGTCTCTTGTTTCTACATGTTTGGACTTAGTTGAACACGTTAAGATATAATGCAAACTTGATTCTTGTGTAGAGAGGGGGGAAGAACTCAGTTGCAATATGGATTGTGGCCTCACATAGTGTCTTTTCCTGATTTCCTTTTCTTGGTCCCGTATTATGTGCCTTTAATGTAGTTAATTATTTTGGGTCATCTTTTCTGTCACGTGAAAAATCATGTTATAACACATCAACTCCGATGGGCTTGTGTGACAATCAATCGATCCCACTAGATCGAATCCTACTACCTTTCAACAAGCTGAAACTTTCGGTTTCGTCGAGCCCCGAGCTTATGGTCTTCCGTTGAGTTTGGGTTTAATGGAATCAATTAAGCCAAGGAAATATATGTACCAAAAGAGATGGTGCATCGCCTATTTATTGTTCCCTATAATTTACTCAAAGTTGTCATCTTCCAAGCTTGCAATTATCTTATTATTGTGATGTTGGTCAGTTCCACAGGTGTTGACAAATTATGGCAATGTTGATGCCATAATGGAGTCACTACATGTCAATGTAAGAAGAAAATGATAAACTTTCATAACTTAAAATAGTAGCTGAATCGAAATAATAATGATGTATTTACTAGGACAAATTAGTCACAATTCATTGTGCAACTAAAAAGCAAAAGATGTAAATTAATTAATGCGTATAAAGCTCGCTATGATCCAATGGTAATGATCCAAATCGAGCTTGCCAGGTTTCGTACTCTAAACTAAAACTTAAGCATAAATTACCAAATGCTCCAATTAGATGTATCATTTCTTTATAAACGATTAGTAACCTCAACAGTCAATACCATTAGATGTAGTTCCTTTCACCTTATAGGCTTAGTTCCAAAAGAAATGAGTCCACAATTATTCATGAAATAAGCCACTCGGTTTTGCTATAGAATCAAAGCATGAAGTAAGTTAACCTGCATGTCTAATTTCTCAAGTGAAACTTGACCACATTCGATACCAAATAGGATAGATGAGATTAAAGGTTTTCCTCTATACCACATTCGTCAATTACCCCTGCAAACATCATATAAAATAGCTCACATAATCAAAGAGCATTTTTTAGGTGAGTCGTACAGGACTGAACCACAAAACTTGTCTTCTCTAAAATACTACCAAGGACATCAACAATATTTTCAAATAAAGGGAGATCTTTGTACATTCCACCCTACTGTGCCAGGAATTTTAGGCTCAATGGAAGTAAGAAATAAGTAAAACCTGATAATAAAAATACCACATGCAAATCACTTGTGCAGCAAGCAGGGCTAAACTGGTTAGGAAACTAAGAAGGATTGCAACACATTGCTTAGTGGAAACAGAACATCACTTATCACTATAGATAAAGAAGGGGTTAATTGTGAAACAAAGAGTTAACAAAACAAGAAAAGTCCACTAGCACGACGTTAGCTCACATTCCTACGTTACATTTGACTGATGACAAATACGTGAAGTACAACCTCGAGGCACAGGGCAGCAGCAAGTCGATTCCCCTCGGGACATGTGAATTTAAGCCATTTCCAAAGCAACACCCTGGAAAGGCCACTGTCAAACTCACTACAAGACTCCGAAAAAGCAGGAGGCATCAAGAGATTATTAGTAGCTGTTCTGCCATAGCTGCTGTTGGGACTGCTTAGGCTGGCCTTGAGAGGCACCCAACGACCCATCCCTTGGATTTTGCTGTTGATGTTCTAATGAGATCCCAGCCTGAGAATGGTAGAAATTTGGGTAGCCCAAGGATCCATGATTCTGCATTGGCTGTTGAGCTTGCCTAAATCCACCACTTTGCTGGTTTTGACCTTGGAAACCATAGTATGTGTTGGCAGGAACAGCTGACATTGTTCTTGAGCCAGGTCCATGAAGCCACATAGCTGAGTTCTCACCCTGAAAGGCAGGGAGAGTGAGCATATACATGAGCTTCAAATCATGGAAAGGAAGAACGGTGATCGACAAAAGCAGTTGATATCAAAACTATTAGTCCAAATGAGAAAAACATCAAAACCTATTATATTAGAGAAAGCGAGTCGACAGCAATTTGTCCTATTGACTTTAAATAATCGAACAGCGTTTATAGCAAGTGAATTGCTTACCTGTTGAAGAGACATCAAATGATTAGTATCCTTGTACTGAGAGCTCAACATATCATCGTAACTCAAGTTAGTACCAGAGGGAGCAGCAGGCGGGTTCATCGGGAAGTTACCAGGGATAGTTGTTGTATTTCCAAAACCACCATATCCAGAAGCAACACTGGCCGACTGAGGTAAGCTGCTGACGGAAACACTGTTCTTATATTGGGGGAGCACTGCCGCTAGCGACTGATGATAAGTACTGTTACCAGCAAATGGTTGCTGGAATGCAGATGGCATATACGTATAGCTCTGAGGCATAAAGGGATAACTAATCATGTTAGCAAACGGTCCCAGAGGAAGTGTTGGTTGGGAGTATGGATGTACAGCAAGATGTTGTGGCACAGCAGGTCCGGTGGTGACACTAGTTCCAGAAAGTGTCTGCTGTGTAGGTTGTGCTGATTGAAAACCAACAGTCCTCAAAGACTGCAAGTCAACAGAAACAATATCAATGATGTACGCCATGACATAAGATAAGGAAGATATCTGTAAACTTATTATTCTAGAAAGGAAGAAGACATAAGATAGAAAATCTCTATCCATATGGTTACACCACCTTTTCATATGCATTGCCAATTAAAATTCAACCCATTCCTCTTAGAGGAATGGATTGTTTCTATACGTCATTTAAAGGAATCACATTTCACAACTTCTTTTGTGAATCTTTTAAATTTCAGATTATTATTAACTTATTGCCCTTTCTTTTCTTTTGCAACAACCCAAAAGAAAATCCTAAATGAGAAAATCAAAAGTTAACAGTTCTTTTGACCAGGAACACCAAAAGGTAACATTATCATAAGAATATTATACACAACCTCGGCCACCTTTTCCTAAATCAAAGGGTCATTTTCTTTTCTCTTAATGAGCTAGACCCTCTGAACTGTACCACACAAATAAACAAATTAGCCTTTGAGATATTTTGAAGATCCATGACGAGTAACTATTCTCTTTGTATACATTTTTTTGTATACAGAGTAAAAACACCAACCCACACAACATGAGTTTAACAAAACATCAAAAGCTGTCTGCCCTAAAACATTGGATGGACATTAAGACTTCAGAGAGATGACCTTCAAATTTTAGTTTCAAGCAGCAGAAGGCAGAAGCTATCTTTGAAATTTCATCCTCAATTGTTAAGAGATCCCACCAGTGTTAGATGCAATTAGATCCATTATGTACAACATTCTCATTATGCACAAACAAACTATAAAAACCATTAAAACTACTTCTAAAAAGGGTAAGAAAATAACATATTTTGCGTTTTACGGTACATGAAAATTTTGACAAGCAACAAGTGATGAGCAATACACCAAGTGCACATGAAGAAAAAGAAATTCACTTTGAAAAATGAATTGACTTCATCAAGATAGCATTACCTCAGGCATGGAAATTGTTGAACCTCCAATTGAAGAAACAGAGTTGCCATATTTTGTGGGCATTGCTTGTGTTGCAGAAAATGGTGAGTATGAAGGATCAGATTCACGACCAGCATGAACATTAGCAGCCAACAAGGTACTTGGCAATGAATTTGTGAAGGCCTGCTCAAACAAAATAGCAAAATGAGTACCTCGCCGTAGAAAATTCTGGTGGAAACTTAAATGTTCCTCTTTTGATTCTCTTGTACTCCATTGACCTACCGCCCCCTCCTCACATGGGAAAAGCAGGCATTATAGGTTTTATCTTTCTAGAGTTTGTAAAACTGAAAACAATTCCTGAAAGAGCATAGATACATTAGGAAAAATAGTAAATTACCACTTATACTAAGTGCCCCCACAATAGTGCCGCAGAATTAGATTCTTCACACGTTTGCCACTATTATTTTATATTTATCAACTTCAAATACAGATTATACAGAAGGAAACTCCAGCAATAGCTTTTTCCTCAAAATATTCTAGGAAAAGATTAAAGGACCACAAGAAAAGGGCAGTCCAAAAGAGTTACAAGAAAAAGACTATCCACGGTCATCTTTCACTCTAACAGACCTCAGCGATTACTCAATTTAGTTAATTTGATTGTCTCAAGTAAAGTTCGATAAAACTATTGTCTATAACTAACAACAGATTTGCTTCGATTGTGCAAGAGCTATTCAAAAGTTATAATATGTAACCACAGACCAGTGCCCATATAGTGAATAATAACAAGTTCACAAATAATCATGCTGTACTTATGATATCCACCAAAAATTAACTTTCAAAAGAGTAACTATAAGACTCGAGAGAATAAAAATGGTCAAATCATTACTAGATTGTGAATAGATCATGATTCTTTGCAGATGTAAATTTTCGAGAATAATCATCTCAAGAACATGTCACAAACTTCTACACCAACCCCCACCTCTCATTGCACCGATAAAAAACAAGAGACTTACAAAAGATACGAATGCATTCACATCTTTCAGTACACTATTAGGCAAACATCTATCCATGCGCAATGTATAGTGTGAACCCAAACTACACTCCACATTTAGAAACCCCCCTCCCTGCTAAGATAATGGAATAAAGCTACCAACCCCGCAACTCTACCATGTCATTCCATATGTCATTTTAAACCTAACAGAATAGCGAGCCAATAGTAAGCAAACTCTATGCAACCCAATTAAAAGTGAAAGTCAAAAGTAAAACATACAGAGCCAATTATTTATTGTGTATGTTCCCCTCAGGGGCTGACTTATGACAAGTTCAACTATAATACACACCCCTGCCCCAAAAAAACTACTAGAATAATGTACTTTTCTTGAGCATTATAATTCACCCGATAAACTTTCAGTACAATTAGCTTCAAACTTCAAAACGCAAAATTATATGCAGGCAAACATCCAATGAAGAGCAGAGAAATTATTTATATCCTTGACAGAGGAAGCTCTTACCATTACATTAGAGAAAGAAGCAAGATTTTGCATCTGGGAACTTGTCTGTGGCTGACTAAATGCTGCAGTCAATTGTTGTGCAGTTTCATATGTGTAGCCACCAGCAGAGGAGGGATACGA